ATCATAATGGTATATCCTAAGGTAAATTGCATGCTTTGGGAAGGAGTTACACAATAACTCATCATTGCTTACTGGGCGGTGGCAGCAAAAGCAACAGCTTTCCCTGTCCGTTCCTTAGATAGCTTCTTTCCAGCCACCTTTTGACTATCTGTATATTCAACGGAGTAACTGTAAGTGCAGACACAGAAGCACCAGGAGCTAGGCATGTCATTCAAAGGAGTAGCCACTACTACGATGACTACAAAGTCAATATCGACGTGGGCTTGCAATAGCGCGAAGATGTTACTTTGTATCTATTTATCTATTCCGTCGATTGCTTGGCTGGTTAATTGCTCTGTCCAGTGTGTAACGACGGTTACGCTGTTAGTTAGACAGCGACCGCGACCGCGACATTGAAGTGTCGTCTAATATTTTCTCATCGTCCGGTTCACGAGTAGCCGCAGCAGTAGAACTGCCAAAGCTCATCACAGGAGTAGCGGTAGCAGCTTCCATTCGCGTAGCAGGCGAATATGGTTCGTTTAGAGCAGTTACGTCGGCGTACTGCTGTTGCCGCTGTTGTTACTTTGATGTATTTGTTGGCTGGCTGACCTTGTCAAGGCGGAAGGGGCCTTCTGTTGTTAATGCTCGTGTACACAGCAGGTATGTTATGGTACTCGCTACCCCGGCACAGTTATGACTTCTGATATAACAGCTGCCATGGTTATCGACTTCAAGACTTCGCTGCCTAGTATGACATGGCAACGGCTTGTGGCGATGTCACTCTAAGTTAATTCGCTAAGTTCTGGTTCGTTCGGTTTGGCATTTGTTTCATCTTGCAGGAAAAGTACAACAAGGTCACGGAAACTGAAGCGTCGTAAGCGCCTTCATCACCATCTGTAACGACGGCTATTCGCAAAATATATACATACATATATGTATATATATACACATACATATATATACAACATCAGAAGCAGATATAGAAATTGAAAAACTTGTAACAGAGCCTGGAAAATAGCACAGCATCTCAATGAACTAAATAAAGCCTCTGAGATCGATCGTTTCATTGAAGACGTTCATCAAGGTAGGTGAAAACCAATGAAACAATATACGAAAAATCAACTAACTAAAAATAAGGGACAAACAAAAAAATACGCGCTTAAGAGTTTTATGTAGCACTAACTGGCAATAAGTTATATATGATGTATCTATCTAAGTAGACAATCAATCCATCCTCAATCCGTGCAATAGCGATTATCAAACCCCCAAAAGAATCGCGTTACGTTCGGGCGATACAAATAATGTACCCAAATGCCAGTTGATACTCTATCCGATGATACTGGTTTACCGTAAATGTTCCTAAACAGTAACACAATCTCTATCGAGCCATCCATCGTAGCAGGTGTCAAGGTCATTCCGCGCAACTGGTTACACTTCTTGCCCATTGCCGTTGGCCGTGAAAGTTTCTTGGCCCCGAGTCGCTCGCTTACTGCGCGCGTATACGTCTGTTGGAACAGTAAACCTGCCCTTCGCTCGAGAGTTTGCTTCTTACCAGTGAACCCTATCCTGGCTCACCGGCGTCGAATTGGCTTGTATCCTGCTGACGTTAGCAATTGATGGCAAGGTCTTTGCTTGATCTATAATCGCATGCATATAAATATGCGTACATATATATTGGTGTTTCTCGGTGTCGTTTTCCCTGGGGTCCGTCCAGGACGAGCCTATTGGCGTAGGTGCCACTGCCTCCTGGATGGAGAGGATGGCAACCTGAGCATCTTTCCTTGCTGATTTGCTACTCTAGTGTTACATAGAAAGCCAACAAGCGCCAAACAGAGAGCCAGTGATGCTGAAGAGACGCAGCCGCGGCTGCGTCTGTGTAGTGTCAGTGTTAATGTCCAAAATCGTTGTGCTAGTGTTAGTTTTTTTGTATCAGGACGACGCTTGTTTGGTGCCATAGTACAGACTACGTCTCCCTTATGTTCCTGTTGCGCTCCGCACGGCACCGCAGGGTCTACAACAGATACTCATACATAGTAAGGCTCACGCACATATTGAGTAAAACGCGCGCACGCAGACACACACATACACACCCTCACATAGGAATACTCTCCCACCACCGCAAACAACCTATACACAGCTTCTCAATTCAACCCGATGGTGGTACGACCGCAACGAAACTGGCTTGAGCGGCATCACCTTCTATTGGAGGACAGACAGAGTAACTGTTCTCGCTGCGCTTGAGAGGGAGTCTGGCTAGACGCGGGTACATGCTGCGTCCCTTCCAAACGTGAAGGGACACAGTTCACCGAGCAAGCCCCTCACTTCGAAGGTGGCTGCGAGGCAAAATATGTAAACAAAAAAAAAGCTTGTACCAAAGAAAAACAAAGACGGCAGAAGAAGACACAAGTTAATGGAGCAGTTTGTCATGGTTCCCGAATTACATCCCTTAACTCTCAAAGAGTTCAATAAGTTTTAGATTTATTTATTTCTAGTTTAGTTCGCTAGTCACTACATACAACTCAACATGTGTATGCTCAGCTCCGAAGATATCATCAGCAACATTGTCCTCAATGGATCAGATAGCTTATCGGATACCAAAGTGCGTTTGTTTATCACTTGTGGATGGTTCTCTTCTTTTGTTTAGATGTTCCTATTTGACCGAATACGTTCGCTGACGTACTGTTCTGGCAGTATTTAACGGTGTGATTTACGTTGTGATTGTAGCCATCCAACATGACCTCAGCTTGCGCAAAAGCACAGAAAATGGAAGCTCCTCTAACGGAGAGTGGTGCGATGGATCTTTCCAAGATTCGCGAAGAAGACTTCGAACAGCTGGCAGTGTATCTAGTTCCTGACCGGCCCGTTGATGAGCAAGACGGTGACCACAATAGCACGGGTAGACAGGATCGAGAGCAAACAGCTAAAAATCGTGCAGTTTCCTCTTTACCGCGCAATCTTGTTCTTAAACCCTCACAAACTCTTCCTGGTGTAAGTGTGCAGCACTTTTTCGTTTTCATCTTGATCCTTGTTAAACTTCATTAGACAAGCTTTTCGATTAAAAAGACTATCATTTTCCTGGAGCATTGAGTGATCTTAATGTAACGGGGTAGTTCAAGCCTTGACCCTTGCCACTCGATTCTGTGGAGAAACCGATTCTTGGAAACATTCAGCTGATTGATATGCATCCTTGCTGATTTGGGTCAACAAATCTGTTGATCCAGCAGCAGTATGGTGCGTAGCCAAAGGGAAAAAGTCTCATTTATCGCGGTTGGAGAGTCGTACCTTTAGGCATTGGGGTCAGTGAACCAGCCCATCAGGGAACCTTCGTCAAGGTCATCGCATCGATGACACCGAATGCTTGTCACGGTCGTAGATAAAACGATAATATAAGTCGATCCCACAAGTGGCGTAGTAGTCTTTGAAAACACGATCATGCATTTTCTTTACGCTTAGGAGACAAATATCTTAAAAAGTTTAGTATCATTATTGGTTAGCTAAACAGTCTTTCTCCTATAGTTATACTAATTATAATAATATATTATAACAATACTTGCTATTTTTAATTGCATTATTGATATGTTGTTGCTTGTGTTTCGAAACTATAGGTACTTGGCGTATGGAGTACAGATTACATTCCACGCGGCACCCGGTTTGGTCCATTAATAGGCGAGCGTTATGAACGCGACGCCGTTCCGCCGGACGCGAACCGCAAGTATTTCTGGCGAGTTTACTCTTCCGCTTCGGCAGAGGACGGTAGCCACTGCAGCGATTACCATTATATAGATGGTTTTGACGTCACGAAGGCAAACTGGATGCGTTACGTGAGCCCAGCTTACTCGAGTGCCAAGCAGAACCTGGTCGCGTGCCAGCTTCGCGGGAAAATTTACTTTTACACGCTGCGGGCCGTTATGCCTGGCCAAGAACTGCTCGTATGGTACTGTCGAGAGTTCGCCCAGAGGCTCAATTATCCAGAGACAGGCGAACTCATGCTGCAGCGAATTAGTAAGTATTCAAGCAGGTTGTGTTATTTACGTGTCAGTTCTCGTCGATATGTCTACTCGTTGATTTTTATAATATAAAAAAACTAGTGTTAGAGAGGTAATGTTTTGAAGTGTCATGCATTGCAAAAATCGCCGCAAAAATGGCATATGCAATCATATGGCATACGGTGGAAGTCAACGCGGCTTATGTCGTCCATTGTTAAAAGCTATTCTGAACTTTTAACACTATGACAGATACGTTTCATTGTAAAATATCTACGGCTTCATTCAATATAGTTTGGTGTACGTACGATCCAAATTTGGAATTTAATTGGGGTTCGGGTTTTTGTTCAACAGATGTAGATATTTTTTATCTGCTATTACTTCTTGGATATTTCCTTAATTTTAGCAAATGGATTTAACTGAGAGCTGAATAATATATATTTACGACTGAACTGTTTTCTCTGTTACAGACGAGCAGATACGTTTAAGCCAGCGAGATGACGAGACCTCGGCCGAGAAGCCCGATGACCCCAATCCCATCCAGAGTCCCGATCCTTCCCCTGTCGCAAAGCAGATTAAGCAGGAGCAGCTGGCAGATCCTGAACAAACAGCTGACGCAAGTCCGATGAGTCTGCAGGTTATGCCGGCTACGCCTTTCGGGTCGCGTTCCGATGAGGGTTACCAGACGAGCACTTCTTCGAGCAGTGAGAGGCATTCGCCACCGTCGCATTCCGAGTTTCTGGATGAGAACTGTCCCACAACGCCGGAAGAACTCGGTATTGCTTTGCGCCTTTCGGCCGATTCCGACGAGGATGCTATGTCCGATTGCTCCGATTACGTACTCGACTTTAGCAACAAACGACCATCAGCCCCTACCACCATGACGTCAAGTAAAACGTGTACTCGTGACGATAGTTGCACAAAAGAGGGTGACGATTCGTCGATTGAAAGGAATGAGTTTCGTAAGGTCAAGATCAAAATGCCCAAGGCGTATCAAAGCGCGCAGCGATCGAGGGAGCGTGGTTCTACCGAAAGTAAGGCTACCTCCAGCTGCGCGTCTGTTGGTAGCGTGGGCTCTTCGCCACCGCGGCATGCCGATTTCGGTCATGAGGCGGATGTCGATATCGCAAGTGACGAGAACTTACAACAACCGTCAGCCATTCCCCATCTCGTCAGAGGTTTCTTTGGTCAACGTAGTTCAGCCTTCCAGTCGTACGAGTCGCAGCAAAACACAGCAGCACAACAAGCGACGCCTCCGCCGTCGTCAGCAGCGGGAGCAGCAGCTCTTAGTCCAACCTCAACAGTGCAGCAACCGCACCCTGGAATTTTAGAGAACCTGCTTTTGCAACGAATGAATGCAGAAAAAGACAAGGCTACTCGTCAACAAGCCTCACAGATAAGCTCAACGGGAAACGCATCACCTTCTGCATCTCCATTACCGGCGCCCCCCCTGCCTGTGCGAGAACCGATTCGAGTGATCGTTTCAAACGAAAGTTCGCCTACTCCGCATGCGTCACCGTCTCCTGCCGTAGCGTTGCGACGTGAGATGCATTCGCCAGACTCGACAGCGCCAGCTCTACAGCCACCCTCAGCCTCTTCGTCGGTCGTCGCGCCGCCCTCAATCGGATTGTACAGTCCCGCAGGAGCATACGGAGCTGCTAGTTTCCCACCTGCACATTTCCCGCCGGTGGGACCTATTACGTCGCTACCTTCACCTTACCCTCCGCATCATACGTCGCCTTACGAAGTCCACTCTTCCATGGGGCCTTCGGCACCATTGACGCCTGTGGGCTCATTACCTTCCGGATATCCCGCTCTGCCCCGTCCGTCATCAGCAAGTCCTAGTCCTGAGCAGCAAAGCGATGATCGGAAGCCGGCCATTTCACGACTGTCCCCTCCTCTGGCGCCAGGCGACTCGACCGATGTGGATAGCCTTCCAGGCGGCAACGCACGTGGGTTTCGGTCTTTGCCGTATCCACTGAAGAAGAAGGATGGTAAAATGCACTACGAGTGTAATATTTGTTTTAAAACATTTGGCCAGCTGTCCAACCTCAAGGTGCACCTTCGTACGCATTCAGGCGAGCGACCTTTCGCGTGCTCCGTGTGTGCCAAGAGTTTTACCCAGCTGGCTCACCTGCAGAAACATCATCTCGTACATACGGGGGAGAAGCCGCACCAATGCGGTGTTTGTCATAAACGTTTCAGCTCGACCTCAAATCTTAAAACGCATTTACGGCTCCATTCTGGACAAAAACCCTACGCATGCGATCTTTGTCCAGCAAAGTTCACGCAGTTCGTTCATCTCAAGTTGCATAAGCGGCTCCACACGAATGAGCGCCCATATACTTGCCACGCATGCCAGAAGCGGTATATCAGTGCGTCCGGTTTGCGAACGCATTGGAAGACAACATCCTGCCAACCAAATCAGGTGCTTGATGCTGAATTACAACGTGCTGGTCTTGACTATACTCACATGGAAATCAGTGATGAGTTTCACCGAATTCAGATGGAACAGCAGGCTGCCCAGGCCGCTCAGCAGGCCGCCGCCATGGAACGGAGGTCCCCTGACAGTAGCTTTATTGCTCCTCAACCCCTGTCCTTAGTCGGCTATCCTGCAGCGGGTTCTGTCAGCCCACCGGGATCAATATCACAGCAACAATCAGTGATTCGGGAAGCCAGCTCGCTATCGACGGCATGCCCCTCATCGGAACGGGGCTTTCTGCCGCCTCCCCTGGCACCCCACACGCATGGACCTCCACATACGTCTTCGCGACTCGGTCTTAACGTCAGTGAGGTGCACTAGGGCAGCGCCAGAATCCCCAAAAGCATTACGAATCTAGGAAATGTCACGGGACAAACAAATCTCGTTGGTCCATCTCTGATGAGTCCGGGAGAAAGCTGTTTGCCCCCGTCCCCCCTCGATCCCTTACATCTGGCCAGTCTTTGGCGGTGTTGGCTACCACCGCCATCTCTGCCTTAAACATGGCTTTGACAGGTGATTCTTATGACCTGCACTGCTTCAGATCAACCACTCCATTTTCGGAACAATCAACTACCCTAGTCACTCAACCAATCACGTCGAGGTTAGGGAAAATCGTCGTAAAAAAAATGCGTCACCTTTCCCGACGGTAGTCGGAATTATTCCCGACATATTTGTGTTGTTCGAAGTCTAATGAGCCAGCCGTACTATAGGACACTAGTCCGATAAAGTTCTGGTCGAGGAGCACACAAGCTGAAAAGGCCGGAAGGGTCTCGACTTTCTACCCATGTGATATAAATAGCAGCTGAGGAGTATATATATATATATATATATATATATATATATATATATATATATATATAATAGACATACATACATGATTATAGCAAGCTGTGGTTTTGACCTTTAGTTACCATTATTATTTGTTAGATGCGGGACATCAATTCGATTCTCACGGTGACTATATACTAACATCTCCAAGGCAAGGACTAATTTATGAGTAAGAAACGCGAAAAGGATCATTTACGAGTAAAGTTTATATTGTGAACTAGAATAGAAATATTCTTTTTGTTCAAGCAAGCGACGGAGTTCATGTTTAGTTACGTAGAGTGACATTCAACTACCGAGTTTATCCCTTAGCGCATCAGCTTTATGCTGCCGTGCAGGGTGAAGAACGGAAAAGATATCAATAATAACAATACCCTTTTATTGATATTCTGCTGTTATCCGTATATAAACGTATATATATATATATATATATATATATATATATATATATACATACACATATATATATATATAGATATATATACATATATATATACATATATATATATCTAATCAAAAAAAAATATATTTTTTTTTTAATTTATTGAACCCCTCTTCCAAAGGCAACTAGGCCAATTCTGTTCGCTATCCTAGCGGAAGAAAAATATTTGGGTTGACCGTACACATACAATGGGCAGTTTGTATATATACAGTTAGTTCCCATTAAGACCGACTATTAAACCAATCAATACCCTCAATTCGTGTACGCTCGTTCCCATAATGATATAATACTTATTAAAAGAACT